AAATCTGAAAAGTTAAGTTGGAAAAGGGGGAGAGAGAGATAAAACTCCTGAAGGGCTGAATAGCAAGTGCAGTTGTGAGTCAAGGAAGAAGGAGCTGGACTTTAGAAAGAAAGAACAGGGACTGTTCTTGGAGACCTAGAGAAGGAGCAGGGAAGCAGAAGGCTTATAAGGAAAAAAGTCAACAAATCTGACAAGGGATGTATGTTGATAAGTAATGGCAGTATTAAGTGAAGGAGAATGTGTAGTGGAGAAGTTAAAAGTGTAAAAGGCAAAGTATAGTCCAAGGCTACAGGTAATAGATGAAATGAATATTTACATGTGGCAAAAGCACAGAGGCGCTCCTTCACCCTGTGTTGGGTGAGCAAAAGGAATTGGAGGAGCAGATACTGCATCAGCTTTCATCCTCCTTCCAGCTGAAGCAGGAGTAAAGACAAAGCAGAAGTAAGCCTGATTAGGGTGCTGTGTGTGGGTGCTGTGCTCTGTGTCGGGGCTGGCATTCCAGGCTGGCTGCTCTGGAGCCTGTCCCGGGCACAGCAGCTCCAGGGAGGCTTCGGGGCAGAACTTGTGTCCATGGGAGTCACTTCCCTGCAGGCAGGGAGGGAGGGGAGCTGCATTCCTTGTGTACAGATAAAACTGGATTTTAATCTGCACACAAGGAGGTGTTCAGAGTTCTACAATGTGGAATTAATGTATGGAGTGGTTAAAATCTGTGTGCTTCCATGCAAATTTCTTGTGTGAGCAATTGTAAAACTCGACACTGTCATTCATTTAACTGTGTAAAGTACTGCAAATCATGAAGCTGTTAGCTTTTTATTTGTGAAAACTGTATAAAATACTGTGTTTTTCCTTTATTTTGTGCATGTGAAATTGTTTTTAGACTTGGAAATTGTTTTTCCTGATTTGGTATTGCTTTTCATTTGAATTTGAAAATGCATTTTTTTATTAGTATCACTTACAAATGGATCAGTTTGGACTAAATCCTTCAGGCCATTCTGAGACAAAGGATATTAGAGTCTATATTTTTATCTGTTAATTATTAACAGTAGTTGAAAAGAATGAAGTAAATTACACTATTTTGCAACTAGATTCTCATATCTAACCTGAGTTATTGGATGCTAAAAGTACATTTTGCATAAGACCTTGTCTGGGCACTTCTTCTTACAGACATGGTTTTGATGGGAAGGAATGAATTTGCTAAGCTTTCACATGTCTTATGTGCCTTTGAGGATGGCCCATTAATAATGTTAATACATAGGTATTTTCCATTGTTGTATGCAAGGCATTTTTTAGAACTTTAAAGCTCAAGTCTTTTTTTTAACACATGGACCTTTTCAATTTAATCCATTAGCAACTTGGCAAAATAAAGTAATTGTCCAACAGAGGAAGAAAAAAAATCTATTAACATTTGCTACAAATCCGAGTAGTACAGGCAGCACTTAATTAATGGAACAGATTTCTCACTATGTGTTCAAGCTAACATAGCTATTGTTCAGCAGAGATTAGACCCTTAATGTAAGTAAGTTAAACTAGACCTCCATCTAAAAATATCCGTCATTTCAGCTATTAAAGCTCTGATGTCTTCTTCGGTGACAGATATATTTCCCTTCATTTCCTTGGTTTTGTAAAATGTAAAGTATGCATTGTGTGTAATGTGAGAAATCCGCGGAGGTAGATGAAACCCCGATTGTGCCTGTCTCTCTCTGCCTGCCCCTTTGTGCTGCTCCCTGTCTCAGAGCCTCCTCGGCCCTGAGACCTGCTGGCACCAGAGCAGAAAAACAGAAAATGCCATTTGTCAGGGTATGATGCCAGCCACCTAATCTGTTTGCAGAATGAGGGCCATGGGATCTGATTAGGTAATTTAGATACCATGTGAGTTTAATAATACCTGAGCTGCCTCTGGCTGTCAGCCTGTCACTTCACCACTAGAAACTGCCACGTTCTGCCATTTTTTCTCTAAATTCTTACCTGGAATACCTTATTTAGTCCAAATAGGTGTTAAGTGCTGCAGGTGAGGTATAGCTTTACTTCTTCTATGTGGAAGTTAGTGATAGGATGGAGGAGGCGAGATGGCTCAGTTTGAAATGCGTTTTCCCCAACAGAATTCCACATGCAGCATGTCTTTTTTTCTCAAAACCAGAATTTTTCAGACATGAGATGTTTGTTTGAATGCCACAGATGCTGTGCCAGGTTTCAGTTGTGTTGGGCCATCCAAGCTGATGTCACTGGTGGGTTTGAAGCTCAGTTTATCCACGTTGGTTATTCACCCTCGTGGCTGAGTCTTCCCCAACTTGCTGCAGCATCCCAGGGTCCCTGTGGGGTGAGAGGCCAACCACTGCCATGTCCCTGTGGGCAGAGGCAGCCTGGGTTCTTCAGATACGCATAAGGGAAAATTTTGGCTGCAATTTTAATGCCACATCTCCTCCCTTCCTCTCTCCTTTCCGCCAATTACCATTTTTTGGAAATTAGCGTCTCGCAAAGCCTGCTAACATAAATAAAAGTGTTTTAGGATTTGTTTGCTTTAATTAAAATGTGTCTTTCTGAAAGGATTTAGTTAAACATCTTTCTTAAACAGTGCTGTGCCAGTAACAGCAACATTTGTAATAGTGATAAGACCCAGAAAGGGAAACCAACTAGAAAGCAAAATGAAATGTTTCTTTGTCCAAAAAATAAATGGTCGTCTCAGGAAAGCAGAGGAAACCCTGTGCAGGGACAGTTACAATTAGATTGATCAAAACAGTAGAAAACATAAAATATTAAATAAATTCTGCAAAGGTAGCAAGTGGGGCTGTGTGAGGTCACTCTCTCTGCTGTTTTTGTTTTGTTTTCCCCTTTTTTGACTGTTGCTATTTTTTTCTAGCAGCACTCACAATGGTCTCAGAGCTTTCCAAATAGGAAATAAGTTGCTTTTCATGTAGTGATAAATTATTTTTCGTAGTGAAGATGGAGTGATTGTAAGGGTAATGATATTAATGGGATTTATATGAAAGCATCCAATTAAAAAATCGAAACAGCTGCATCAAACATGACTCTACAATGTAATAAAATCATATAATAAATATGTGGTCCCGCCACACCATATTACCTAGTTTGATTAATTGAACCTTACGTGTGCAAAGATAGTCATTATCAGACTTCTCAGCCATCAAGGAAGAACAGTCTCAATTATTTTCACAATGAAATAATCATTGCTTTTTTTGTGTCCTGCCATCTGGAAAAAGAAAACAGCAGCTGCCATGACTGAAATGCATGATCTTGCAGAACTGTACAAAGTTGATTGTGCTTGATGCTGGACTCCTGCAGCCTTAGTGAGGGTTGTAATTTATTTAGTTATATACATAACATTTTGATTTTCTCCTCTTTTGGACTCTTGAACTTTTCACTTTTCCCCCTTTCTTTTTCTTTTTTATTGGTTTTTTTTTTTGGGGGGGGGGTGGTAGTTTGTTTGGGTTTTTTGTTTCATTTGGTTTTTGGTTGGGTTTTTTTTGGTTGGTTGGGTTTTTTTTGTGTGTTGTTTTGTTGTTTTTGTTGTGTTTTTCTTTGTCTTTTGGTTTTTTCCAAATAAAAGACCCCTCTCTCTGTAAAAGTCTCCCCAGTGCAGGGCCTTAGGGATGGTTTACAGCCTCTGGTTGTGAAATGGCTATTGGGAGCATCCTGGTTTTGCTTCAACACTTCCTCATCCTCATTTCCCCCCTTCCCTTGGCCGTGCAGTGGGAATGCTGCTGGGACAATTTGCTGCCTGACACAGCAAGATGAGAAGCTGGGCTCTGGGGCTGTGTCCCCTTGCCATCAGCTGAGAGTGGCCCTGGATGTGTGTGAGCTGGAGCAGTTCACCTGTGCCTGCAGACCTCCTGTCTCCAGTAAATCATAAGCATCTCAATCTTTTTGTCAGGCTGTGATACGAGAATCCGCATCTGAATTTCAGTATGGACAGAGAGAGGCTGATTAAGTGTTTGAGATAAGGTTATATGACACCACAGGTTAAAAATACCTGAACTGATTTTGGCCCAATGCCTGAAAACCACATTGTAGCATATTCAGGTGGCACTGAAAAAGCTTTAAGGAGTTTGTTGCTTTCTGCTTTATGCTAGTGCTTCTTCAGGAGTGGTCTTTTATGAGCTGCATCTCTCTTGTTTTACAGCATTTCTTTGGACTTTGCTATCTTGCTTTTCTTATCTAAAATGTTACCAATGTGTTAAGTTATAAGAAAAAATAAAGGTGTAACAAACCCTGGCTGTTTAGGAGGAAAAGGAGAAATATTTTTGTTTGGCACAAATGCCTGGAGAAACAGATCCCCAAAATACTTTGCAGCTTAATTCTCATGCCCTTAAGCAATAAGCAGTGCAAGTTGAAATCCCTAACAAATACTTTTCCTTAACAAAATAAAAACAAAACAAAACCACAACAAACAAAAACAAGACCTGTATAATTTACAATGTGCAAGTTATAAAAAAACAGTGTGCTTCAGGTAAATCCAGAAAATAGATTTAAAGAAATTCAAGAATCTTCTGAGCCTTGTTACTCTCTATCGTTTTAGTATATATAAATATATTTTAATTTATTATTATCTCTATAATTTTATTCATGACTTATATTTTTGTAAATATTCCTAGTGATGACAAGAAACTTTGGGTATGTGTCTAAATAATAGGAAAGGCCTGCCAAGTCTAAAAGACTTAGACCAGGCAAGCTGGTCTGGCTTGTTTAAATTCTTGCCTGTGTTTAATACTTTAAAAGCTGTAGATGGACACTGAAGGATTCAGGATTCTGCACTGGATTTGTGGTATCACTGTTATGAACTTTATGTTTAAGGACTTCTCTTATTTTCTATGTAAACTACCATACTACAGGAGTCTTATGCAGAAATTTGACTTCCCTAATGCATTTGATTTACTTTATTTTCTTTGGTTGATTTCAGATGAAAACATGCCTGCTCATTTTTTCTAATTCTCTGAAATGTGATGTTGAGTGTGTTAGTCATGTGGGTTCTTATTCTTTTACAGATGGGCTGAAGCCAGATACCAAGATGCTGCTAACTGCTGCCTCCAAGAAGAAATCCAAGGGAGGGAAGGGGGATATGACCAAAGAGGATGAAAGCAGCAAGAATGATTCAGCCCAACCTGTTACTATCTCTCTTATCTTTAAAAGATATGTTTTTGACACACAGAAGAAAATGATTCAATCCTGAGGAAACAAGAGAGGCCTTTCATTACACCCTAAAGTCCAGACCCTGAAATGCATTGAGGTGGAATGTGTTTCTTGTCCAAACACCTTAAACCTGTTCCTTCGTCACAAACAGAGCCTGGAAGCTTGTGCTGACTGTGCCCCCTTCCAAAATCTCTGCAATCTCATATTTTTCTGTTCAAATTTGCTTATTTTGTCATCTCTGTGATGTGCATCCTTGTGGCATCTCATCTGGCCCACCTGCCAGAGGAGCACCCCTGGGTGCACATTCTAATTGCACTGTTTGCCTGGATAATTGTGTTGAAGTTTCTCTTGATTTAGAAGTTTGCCACCAAGTCAGGATGTGAATTTCATGTGATCCACAAAGTGAAGCTGATTATTTTAGGCTTACTTCCTTGAGCAGAGTGGGAGACCACAGGCATACTATTTAATAGGTGAAAGCTAAAATGGATGTTTCACATTCCTTCAGTTGCAAATGTGTAAGATGGTATCTGAGAGATGGTATGGATGTGTTTTACAAATACAGTTTATATCTAGAAATATTTTTCATATTAAACATAATGATCTGTGTAGCTGAGAGTCTTAATTGTTCTGTTTGCTGTTCCAAAGGTTCAGAATTTATCTTCAGTGACATTTTATGTAACTTTTTTGATTTTTCTGCCTGTTCTGCAATGAATCCTATTCCAAAACTGTTTTCTTTTTCCTTTTTTTATTTTTTTGTAACCAAAATGCCTTTTGTGTGTGAAAGAAAAAGTTGCCTCTGGAAACAGTCAAGGGCTTTGTTTCATTAAAATAATGATAGAAGATTGCTGCATAAGCCTTGTAAAATGAGTGTCTCCAAGATGCTTTAGAAACCATTAGTTTTTAATAGGGATTTCATGGCTGCTTTAGCTCTTTCTCTCAATTTCATGTCCTAGGCTCATGAAAAGGAGAGCACTGGTAATATCCCTTCCTTGTTGCATACAAAGTATAGGACACCTTCACATGAAAACTAACAGCAATTCCACAGGTATGAAAGCTGCAGTCTGGAACAGAAATTGGACTCAGGCTTGGCAGCATGGCAAATGTTGGTTCCTGCCTTTTGAACAAAAAGAGTACCTGCTTGTTGATGCTGAATGGCAGCCTGTGACCCCTTTGATGGTGACCATGTGTACAATGTAAGTGCATGCTGCACAAGGAGGTAAATAATTGCTGCATTCATTCTCATTAATCATATTATTATATCCCTTGATGGGCATGAGTCCATCATGTTAACATGATCCTGATTTTTTTCCAGTCTTTCCCTTTTAATTTCTAGGTAGCCAAAGTGGCTACAAATGGCAAAGTTATCAGCAATTGAGAGGATATTTACAGCTGGGCACTTGTGAGACAGAGCAAGCCTGGTATCTAAACTAGGCTGATGGTCCCCCTTTAAATCAGAACAGAATTAGTGCTTTGTGTAATAATCCCAAACAGTTTCTGCTGAGTGAGTCCCAGCAAAGCTTTAGCACATCCCTTAAGATGATGGGGAATGCTTTCAGTGTGATCCCAGAGGAATTAGGCAGGCAACTTTAGCTATTGGCTTAACAGAACTTGTGCTGCCAGCCTTGCTGGAAAATGTTTCCTTCTGTAATGGAAAAAATGCATTTCACACCCCTGTCACCTCTCCCTCCCCATTTCTCTCTTCTTCCCAAACACCCCCAAAAGCAGTTTTTGGAAAGAACATTTATAATGTTATCTTTCTTTTAAGCCTTTATCAAATCCTGTTTTGTACTCTGCACTGTTACCTCTGCCTAAGATACTGCAGTGATGAACAGAGGAACAGATGACATTGAAGGAACAGTGTTACTATCATCCCAGGTTAGTCTAAGAATTATGGGTATAAAAAACCTAATTAAATGCTCCTAGTTATTAAGGAACTTATACTTGTATCTGTATAGTTCTAGTGTCCTTGCCAAATTTTAAATGGGTTGCTAATTTGGAGTATGGGAAAGAAAAGGGGAGTGATCAGGAAAAGTGCTTCCAGAGTTGTTATCCTTGCACTTAAAGATTTTGTCTTTTCTCATTTCTAAGAACCTTTCGAGTAGTTCTGGAGAGGAGGTTGTCAGTGTAAATGGGGATATGTATTTTCACAAAAGCCTATCTGATGAATGTTCCCCCCCCCACACCATGGATTGCCCTTAACAGGATCAGAGAGTCTGTTGTTATGGAACTTGATCCCTTTGAAAACTCATTAACCCTGAACACTTAGATTTGCAGTCCTCTGCTTGGCTGAAAGGACTCCTAGTGCAGGGAGTCTCATGGTTTATTTGCTTGGGTGCTCCAAGGCAGTGAGCAGCAATAATTCCAGAGTTGGACCTACATCCCTTTCTCATCCAGTCTCTTGTAAAAGTATTTTTAAAATCTTCCTCCTGTCTTCCATTTCATTTCCTGACTAGCATACTAGCTTGACATTTTTCTTCCATCTTCTCAGTCTAAGACCTGATGTGCACCCTCAGTGCTCCAATTTCCTTCTTTGCTCATTGCTGCTCCCTGCTTTGGCTCTGCCCTTGCCTGGAGATCCGTGGCAGGGCTCCCAGGATGGTTGCTGGGAGCCCAGTGAGAGGGGAAGGCTCTTGGTCTGCAGCTCATCCCAGCTCCTGAGTGCACTGAGGAGCTGCCTCTGTTCAGGCTTTCACCCTGGGCAGTTCTGATGGACCCACAGGAGCAGGCAGTGCCTTCACCTGCCCCCTGCCATGCCCTTGTGCCTTGGAATCCTCTGCAGAAAGCCCTTGTCACAAAGCCTCGTCCTGTCCCTTTGCTCCTGCTGCAGAGGTCTGTGTAGGATACACAGCTGGGGAGGGATCTGTTGAAGACTGGGGCTTGGTTTTGTGTTTCTCCCAGTGTAGAATTCTAAAGGGAGAACCTAAGTGTGCCCAAGAACTTTGATTATAATGTGCTATTACTGCAGATCTCTGGCTACTGTCCTGAGGCTGTTGGATACACATTCGAAAAAGGGTGAAATGGTGGAACAAAATGATTATGGGAAAATCAAAGCTTTAAAAGACATTTGTAGGATGAACAGATGTTCAAACATTCTTTTATTTGGTTTCCAGACAGACGTAGAGACTTTCCTTTCATCCTCATAATCAGTGCATTATGCTGTAATTTGTAAAAATGGCATTAAAAAAATATTAACAGGGTCATATTGTGATCTACTGACTCTGTGTCATTAAGCCGTGAAGTTAAGAACGGCAGCTGGGAGCAGGGGTTAAATGTTGCAGAATGTACTGTACTAGCATATATTGTCAGACTGTATTATAATGAATCCAAAATGGAATAAAGATGTAAGGAGGTTTTTTTAATACTCCTAAGGTTGTCAGTGTTACAAAACTAGAAATTATTACGGCTGTGCAGATGTTTGGTGAGTAATACATCTTCGGGCGGTGGAGAGAGTAGCAGGGAGAAAAGCTTCGTTTTTACAAGCCTGTTTTCTACTTTTCCTTGGAATTTATTTTGGGACTGCAGTCTGGCTTGTGATCATGCCAGAGGTCTGGAGCCAGGAGGGTCAAAGCTGTGCTCATGGTAGCAAGGATTCAGTAGGTGGCATCCTTTGCTTGGAATCAAAGCTGAGTCTCCCCACCTAAAAAAGGGGGTTTGCACTGGAACTGAGACTGAAGGGTTTGCATCAGGCTTGCAACACAGCTTCTGGTGAAAACTACAATGCATTTAATGTCTGGGACAGAGCCATCAACTCCAATCTGTTGACCAAAGCCTGAGGCACTGGTGTCCTTTCTGTGTATGTTTCTGGCTCAGCTGAAAATAGCTCTATCTCTTAAATCCTGTATTAGCTGGTTGCAAGTAACTGACTATGGAAAAGTGAACCATCTGCACCAGGGCAGTTCTTGGTGTGTACAAGGCATTTCTGGGCAATAGCACTCTCCTTGCCTGTTGGACTCTGCAGCTGAACAGCCACGGGGTGGTAAAGCAAAATGAGAGCTTGCCACAGCTTGTGGGGTGGTGCAGTGGTGAAGCCACAGTCCACCCCAGCACTGTTTGCCTCTCAGTGCTGGGAGAGCAGCTCTGTGTTTACATCTGCAAAGTGCTCTGGGATCTTGTGAAATGAGGGATGAAAGGCAGCAGAGGAATGCTACCTTATTAGCAGTTTCAAAACCCCTTCATGTTTCCCTTTTAGTTTAATATCCACAGTGAGCTGGAAAGCTCTTCATTTACAAACACATGAGTTTTAAACTTGTTAAGGATATAAATAGAATTATTTTTAGATAGAGCCTAGTACTGGGAGCTAACCTGCCAAGCCTGGCAGAAAGGGAAGGATTTTAGGACTGCAATCTGTAGGAAGGCCAGTTTTGCTAGATGAGCGCCCAGAAGGAATCCAGGGGCTTGGGGAAGCTGAGTTTAAACAAGATACTGGAAGTCCTGTGGGATTCCTCACAAATTCTCCTGCTGTTGTGTCCAAAAACAGGTTAAAAACATCAGTTTACACTATAGACAACATATGAGGAAAAAGAGTACAGTGGATCTGCTTATTTCCCATTGTCAACGCCAGAACATGGAGTCTTGCTCACATCTCCTGCTGTGCATGCTGTGCTAGCTGAAGTTCCAGTTGTTGGGTTTCCACTCCTCATAAGTGTTACAGTTCTTTATTGCCATTTGTGTGTCTGGTACAAGTGCTTTTCCAAGATGGTGTAATCAGTCTGCAAGACTTGGATCATCCACTTCCCCCTCCAGGAAAGTGTTGCTTGTCAATGGTGAGTTCTCTAAGGGGCATCTAAGCCATACATTTCTGATATGCATTTGTATACTTTTTCTGGTAAAGGACAGGAGAGAGAATGTATCAAATTCCTATCTTTTTGTATTTCATAGTCAGCTATGTGAGAGGATCTCATTGCACAGAATCAGAAAATACTGCAAGATCTTTGGTAAATCTCAACCCTGCGCTGCTTTACAAGGCACATTTTAAAAAATGAGACTGTCTTCTTGACTATTGAGTCCTTGCCAGTCCTGCCTGTTCTAGCTCATATTTCTTAACCAAAAGGTAATTTGAGGTCTGGATCAAGTGCTGCTAAACTGACAACCCCAGCAGTGAATGAGGAGCCTGCTAACACCCTTGTACTGCATTTTGGCTAAACTGATCTGATTACTTTTGATCCTTTCAGAAAGCTGGGCTGTTCATTAGCTCTAGTGTATTCTGTTTAGATCAATTTCTTCTCCTTTGAGTGGGAGTCATGCAGTTTTCTTGTGTTTTGGTTGATCATTCTGAGATTTCTCAAGGGCCTTGTTCATGTCAATCAGAGAGACTCCATCCTTTTTGGACCACAAAATTGCTTTTATTAGGCTGTACATGGCCCCCATTCAGATGTGTAGGAGCCAGTTCTCTTATACTATTTTCTGTGAAAACTGATATTTTAGTGCCTATAGCTTGAGTCTGACAGTTAGGAGTGATCCATGCCCTCATGGTGAATTCATTCCCAAAACAGCATTCCATAAGGACAAGCTGAAACTTAGACCCCACACAGAAGTTTTGCCTAAATTTCTTAGTTTTTGCTTAAGTAAGCAATCCATCATCTAGTTTTCTTTCTTAAGCCTCACTTCAGCCAAAGCTGACTTGAACTCTGCACTCTCTGAGAACATAGTTTTGTTATTACCTGGAAAGATCAAGGTCTTTCAGAAGCTCTTCTAGACCCTGTTAAGTTACTGAAATATTATCTACATTGATGCCCACCTCTGTAAAATGGATATGGGAACTTATTTTCTGCAGAGTGCTGGTCATGCTGTTTGTGAGGACAGTAGAAATGCAGATGGGGTACTTAGTTACTTATTGTGCAAG